TCAATGACCTGAGTCTATTCAAATATAAATAAATAATAACAATAATCAAATACTAATATGATGTGTAAGTCAAGGCAAGAACATTCTCAAAGAAAAATACCAATATAAATGGCTCTGTTTGCACTACCATTCAAAAGTTCAAGGCTACATTTATTTGATCAAAAATACAGCATAAACTGAAATACAGTGAAATATTATTACAATTATAATAAGTATTTTCTATTTTAATTTATTTAAAATTGTAATTTAATTCTGTGATGGCAAAGCCAAATTTTTAGCAGCCATTACTTCATTCTAGTCATTAATCATTCTAATTTGGTTCTCACGAAACGTCTTATTATCATCAAAGTTGAAAACAGTTGTCCTGCTTAATATTTTTGTGGAAACCGTGATAAAGTTTTTCACCCCTCCTTATTTCGACTCTTTCTCTGCTTTCTTTACAGTTGGTTGCTGTGTACTTGCCTTCTGTATTGGTTTAATATTTGTCCAGCGATCTGGGAACTACTTTGTAGCCATGTTTGACGACTATTCCGCTACTCTGCCTCTTCTCATCGTGGTTCTTCTGGAGAACATTGCTGTGGCCTGGGTGTATGGCACCGACAAGTATGTTACGCAGAATACGCACTCTTCCTCTATTAGAGAGCTTACAGCGCCCTCTGGTGACATGAGCTTCATATTGCTATGATTATTTGTTGTCAAGCGTATATAAAAAATTCAATTCAAGTTATGGTCACGTACCAACCAATGAAAAATGAAATTATAATTTAATTATAATTTAAAAAAATAATAATTACAAAAACCCCATAGATAGCAAATGCTAATCTAATTTGAATTTATTGTGGTATTGACACTCTAATTGAATCATCTTTAATTGAATCATCTTGATTGAAACTCCCAGAGAAAAAAAAGGCCAAAATACAATTTGAAAGTTTAATATATCTGAAAAAAAAAAAATCATATTTAAAAAAAAATGTATTGAGCTAAAAATAGGCCAAACGTTTGTGGTTTTGTTTAGAGAGGAACACATTCCATTCTAACTTTATTTTGTAGATTGTATGTGTGTGTGTATATATATATATTTATTTATTTATTTTTACATTTAAAACTATTTAAGATATGTAAGACTAAAGTTAAAATCAGTCATTGATGTAAGACAATTAAGATACTAAATAATGAACTTCATATTGATATTATCAGAAGTATTTGTTGTCAACTATATATATATTTATTGAAATTTGAAATTCAAGTTTGTTACAATTACACACTGACCAAAGAAAAATAAATGTAGTTATAATTATATTACATATAAAATGTGTGTGTGTCAGGGCCGTGCAGAGACCTTTGGAAGGGGCAGGTGCTCAAAGTATAAAAGGGGCACATGGAGCACAGCTTTTAATAGGGCTGTGCTCCTTGCTGAGACATGTATCGAAACGGATGCTTCTGTATTGATAGCAGCAAATGCCGTGTTTTATCAGTGTTGTGATAATTATTTTTAAGGCACTCTACGTTTTTAAAATAAATAAATACTGTAATGAAAAAAGTTCAAAGTAATAGTTTTTTAGTCATATAAACATACACGTAGATAACATAAAGACAAGACTCTACGCCCTTTACACACAGCAATATAAACAACAGCTGTGCATGCTCTCTTCACGTAGTTCTTGTATAATAATAATAATTTAATAATATAAGCATTGATAATCAGAAATGTTTCTTGAGCAGCAAATCAGCATATTAGAGTGATTTCAGGAAGACTGGAGTAATGACACTGAAAATTCAGCTTTGACTCACAGGAATAAATTACATTTTAAAAGTAAAGTGTAAACCACCAGTAGGTGACTGTGTAATTGAGTGAACATTCGAGTCATTTGTTCAAGCGGCTGATCCATTCAAGAGTTATCCTATCTGCTTTGTTTCCGCCTAAATATAAAAATCAAATATATTACATAAAATATGCTGACCATTTATATCAGATACATTGACATTTAGATCAGACATATAGCCTATGATATCTACTTCATGATACCCTAACGCTCAAAGCTCAAGACGTTCGGTTTGACGTTCGATCGGTCGGTCGGTCGTTCGAACGTTTGATTTTGGCACGAAGTGCGCGCCATACGGACGTTATGAAGGCATCCTGGTAGTGCGCTACATTAATGGTGTATGAACGTGAGGGATAGTCCCTGATGAGATCGTCAGGTGAAAGGTCATCATCATGTGGATAATTTTATTTACGACTAAATTATAATTCATTCATTTTACTGATAGTTAGATTGGGCAGGCCTTCACAAATTGGCGTTTAATTACAAAAATTTTTTTTTTTTAATTGCCTTGACAAAAGGGCACTTTGAGCATCAAGGGGAAAAGGGGCAGGTGCTCAAACACCCATCGCACCCCCCTCTGCACGTGCCTAGTGTGTGTGTGTGTGTGTATACAAAAACTTAATAGATTGCTTTCACAAGACAATTAAAAATTATATATAGTTGTATTACATATGAAATAAATGTAAATATAAATAAGCAATCATAATAATTATTTACAAAAGCTTAATACAATACAATCTTAAAACTTAATATAATTAGTTCATAATTATGCTGCAACTTAATCAACTAATAAACAAGCAACTGCAATCTAATTGGCAGTGATTGTGGCATTAATGCATCTGTCTCCTGTGGGGTCATTCAGGTTCTTTGAGGATCTAAAGGACATGCTTGGTTTCACTCCATACCGCTACTATTACTATATGTGGAAGTTTGTCACACCAGTGCTGCTGCTGGGTCTTCTGGCCACAAGCATCATTCAGCTGGGACTGTCGCCACCTAGCTACAGCGCATGGAACCAGCAACTGGTGGGTAATCCTGAATGAAGCTCTGAGAAAAGAGGCCAATGTGCAATTTTAAAAGTTTAATACTTAGGTTACAATATCTGAAACATGTTTTTAGCTCAAAATATGGCCGTAATTTTCAGGTTTTACTCAGAGGAATATACAGACTCCATTCAGACATTGTTTTGTAGATGATTTCACCTATAGGTGTTTAATTTAATTTATTATTGATACATTTTTGGGTGAACTATTCCTTTAAGCCTGGGTCAGTTCTAAGGCCTTCAATCCACAGTTTTACCACAGGATTAAAGTGGAATTATTCCTTTGCCAGAATAATCCAATTGCTGTGTCTGTTCTCAGGCTCAAGAACAGTCTCTCAGCTATCCGCCCTGGGGCCTGGCTGTCTGCATCTCACTGGTGGTCACCGCCATCCTCCCTGTGCCTGTGGTTTTTATTCTGCGCTGTTTGAACATCATTGACGAGAACACAGGAGGCCTGTCCACTGTCTCCTATAAAAAAGGCCGCATTATAAAAGACACTGCTTGTAGGGCCAGAGAAGAGGACGAAGATGACACAAGTCTTCTCAACGCGAAGACGCCGAGTGAAGCCCCGTCGCCCATGCCAGCCAATTACCGTAAACATAGCGGTCCTGCTTCGGGCGCAGACGTCACGCTCAACGGTAGCTGCAGCACTGGATACGTAATGCCGAATATTACAGACATTCCGGAATCTGATTTGTGAGGACTTGTTCAGCCTCATCTGTAACTGTGAGGACCAGTGTCATTTCATTTGCCCTGTAAGAACCTCTTCATCGAGTTCCAGAGCTTCAAATGTCAATCACCTGAGTAACCAATCACGATTCATCAAGATGAATGTGAATGCTAATGGACAGTGTTCTCCTATATACCTCTTCTAACAGCCATCTTCCTTTCACACTGGTCCAATACAAAAGTTTCAGCATTTCTAACTGTATTATATGTGTACTAACGCCCCCTACCCCCATCCCAATCCATTGCCCCAACTGTTGCACGCACTTGTCCTCCTCTGTAGGGGCCTGTAGACCCCTGGTTTATGCTCTTACTGTAGAATGGCTATTTGTACAGATTATGTTGCAAGTCAGGGCAGTTACTGTCCATAAAAATCAAGATTAGAAGCAGCTTAGGAAAAGTCTAGAATGTAAATGTATGCATAAAATGGGGAAAACATGCAATACTTTTCTTTTGGATGTAGTTAAATCATTGAACATCAGTGTATGGATTGCATTTAAAACAACCCCAACTCATTGTTGGAAAATGTGTGCCTAATTCATTCTAAAAATGTTGATAGAATACAAGGTGTGAATGTTGTACATTTAAGGTATTCTGTAAATATATTATGAATAAATGTATTCAAATATAGTTTGGAATACAGATCATGTTTTTGGTAAGAAGTGCTTAAAAATCCAGTATGCAGACTTTTTTTTTTCTTTTCTTTTGGTTGTTTGTTTGCTGATGTGCTATCATTGTCAGGAGTCTTATTACTCCTCCCTCTTCCTGTAAATATTTTTTTCATGAATTTGCTCAATGACACAGTATTTGCTTTCTCAATACTGAGATTAAAAGATAAAGGGATTCAGACACACTGTTTGGCTTTACTACTTTGTTGCGCTCCACAATAACGTGACCGGAAATGAAATAAGAATTTAAAAAGACAGTACATGGACAAATATGCACCAATATATGCAATGATATTAAAATTCTGGCTGATTTTATAAATCGTGTTAATTTCGTAGAACCGATAACCAACAACTGGCTGCTTTTAAAATTATAAAGTTAAAATGACTGTACTATTTTGTCTGTACTAAATAAATCTTAAAAATAAAAGCCCACACTAAAATCAATTGCAGAAATTCTACAACAGTATTTAGGCATCACAACATTACAATGCACATAATGAATCATTTTGGAGATTTGCTAAAGAATATATTTCGTAATCTAAATTTATTAGCATCTTTTAAAGATGAATTTAAAGTGAGGGTCAGAGAATGGCAAAGGCTTTGGCCATTATACATCCAATATCAATAAATACATTTTAAATAATAATAGTAATAATAATAATAATAAAATCTCTATTACCTAATCAGAACTGATATGGTAAAAATATATCATGTGTCCCTTTAAATTAAAAAAAAAGGTAGGTTTAACAACATAGATGGGTTTAAAACCTTTATTGTCCATTTTGATTTGTTCAGTCATTGGAAGGTCATTTTCAACAATAAAAATCTTAAAACAGGTAGTGTCTAAAATCAATGACATGACAATTATAAAATAAATGTTAAAACCTTGTGTTTCAATCACATATTCAAATAGGCCTCGGCTAAAAAGCAAATGAGTGTAACTTTTTTCCCTGAATCATTTCATCTCCACATGCCTCTTTAAAACAAAAACATTTGAAAGCTAAAAGCAGTGCAAAACACAATAATCATACCGCTATTGTGTCATTTAAGCAGAGGTGACAAATTCCTAGATTTCTTATTACTCTCATGACACATCTTAAGTGTTAAGGTCTACAGTTGGGCTTATACGGACTTAGCAAAGCCCACTCGGTTATTCTCCCGATCAAACACAGTGTAGTACTGCCCAATGAACACATCACCCAGAATCCACAGGGGTCCAGCAGGGGGTGGGATATCCAGGCCCATGAATCCACTCAGACAGATCTCCTTTCCAGCCTGGCTTTCCTGTAAACACATACAAACACACAAAGAGAGATACCATCTTTAGAATGTTTTTGTGATCACCAAGAATCCCTTCAGTGTTTTGCTCACACAATACTGGCTAGCTGCATGTGATTTACAAGAAAATAAAACTCCAGGTAAATGTTTTTTTTATATCCTGGCTCATGCACAACCTTGTCAAAACAACACCTCAATTTCACAGCTCTGCTGATGCAAAGTGCCACAACACAACAACAGCACTTAGGTGACAAACTAGGACTGACCTTGAGTATGTACTGTTCTCCAGTCAGTGAGTAAGTCTTTCCACCCATGACGAATGAGATGGTGGGGAGTGTGGGCACTTTTTTACAGTCTATCATATACTACAGAGAAAATGTGTTTAGTTAGAGAACATTATCAAATCATTATACATTTCAATAAATAAGTTACCATTAATAACAACACACCAAGCATGCATACTTTGTTGACCAGTCTTGTAAAGAAAAAAATAAAATAAAAATAATTAATTAAACAAATAACTAGTTAATTTTAAGGTCAGTAAGATTTTAAAAGAAAATTAATACTTTTATTCAGAAAGGATGCATTACATTGGTCAAGAGTGACAGTAAAGACAATTTTAATGTTACAAAAGATTTCTATTTGAAATAAATGCTGTTCTTTTGAACTTTTTTTATTTCTCAAAAAATAACTGAATAGATATCTAGTCACAACGCATCAGTGATGTACAATTATATAAACATTTAAAGTTGCAATACCTCTCCCTGTATGAGAGGGATTGCACCAATAGCCTTCTGCAGGGCTTTGACTTCAGCAGCTGGGCCGGTGATCAGAGACGTCCCAGAGTCCACGATGGCTTCACATCCTCCTTTACACAGAGTCAGCTCACTGCCAATGCTCATGCTACACAAACAAACACAGAGCACTAGATTATTGTTATAGGGATCTTCCGCATTGGTGGTTCAGTGGTAAAATTCTTGCCTCTCACATGACAGATCAGCATATTTCAGAACATATTACACATGCATGCAATCCATTTTTCAGATTAACGACAAATTTCCACACTCCAGTTTGAACGTAAACTAACACAAACAGTGTTTTAAAAGGCACTGCGATTTTTGTGTGAAAAATGTTGCCTTTACAGTTGTACCTTAAAAGTTAACATTTTCAAAACAGATACAGATTTCATGTTCCAACTAATAACTAAATTTCTCAAGTTGCATTGAGTGTCAAAAAAAAAAAAAAAGTTGTCACTTTTATGCATTTAAGTAAAATGGTATTGCATGATAGAAAGGCTTAAAGGGTAATGAAACCCAGTTTCAGCACGGGTTAGTTCTCACCACGGTTTTGAAAAAAGCTACAAAAGTGGGTGTGGTGTGGAGGGGGAAGAGGGGAGACAGACAACGCAGACAACTCCCATTGAGTTAAAAACACATATAAATGCACAGCCATTTGCATTTGCACTCTGCATCGAAAATATATGAACACGCTGTTGCACCTCCAATAACTTTTAAGGCTTATTTTGCAGCATTTAAATAATCCTTTTGATGGGTTGCATCGAGGAGCTGTAAAAACCGGTTACACTCACTAAGTGAATAAATTGTGCCGACTGCCAAACTCTTACAAAGCAAAAACAAACACTCTCCTTCGATCCATGAATGTTTCTCTCAGTTAATGTACGCAATCTCACAGTCTGAAGCATCTGTCATAGGAAATCAACACATGCTGTTGTGAATAATTAAGCGAAGCGTCTTCTCATTGGATAAGAACACGAAGTCTCATTAATAATTATGAGACACAGACACATCATCAAAGTACTATAGTGCTTTGCCACGTCACAAACTGTGACGTCAACACGGTGTAGATTTTAAAGCCGGAAGACGAAAATAGCGCAAAAAAGCTCAAAATTAACCAGTTTTCTCCAACAATTAAAATTAATGGATGCTAACATGGTCTTCTATGTTGTGCAACACAAACACCTCTGCTAAAATCTCAGAAAAAGTAGTTTGGTGTTTCATGACCCTTTAAACAGTCAGAATCGGTTGATAATTTGAAATTAGATGCCTTCTTGCCTAAAATTAACTCTGTTTCCTAGCTTTAATTTCTAAACATTTATTTGTATAAATAAATAAGATAAGCACTGCATTACACAATACAAGGACCCAAAAATCTCTCACCCATCCATGTGAATCTGCCAATAGGCCTGTCTGCTGATGTCCACGTAGTTAAAGTCTCCAGTGTAATATTTGGGGTCTGTGCCTCCAAGGAGCAACTCACCACCAGGTTGGGTGTCAGGGTTTCTGTCGGACAAATAAAATGGGGTCATCCACAAAAATCAGGCCTGGAAGTTACTTCATTGAATGCATGTTTATGGCAGACCGACATGTAATTATTCGTTTCATAAAAATCTGGGACAGATGAGGATGGCTTAAACAAATGTATGTACCTGTTCAGGTAGAAAGAGAAAATATTTTTCTCCACTTTCTTCTGGCTCATCATCATGTCAAAAACAGGAGGAACCCCATCCACAGAGATGCGAGGATAAGCCATGCCGAGAATACCATCAAACTTGGCTGCAATGAAGGCTACTCCTGGCTGTTTGATAGCTTCTCCAAATATCTGCTTCTCAACTGCAATATCACCAACCTAAAAGAGAAGTAACAGTTCGGTTTCTTTCACCATTTCAGGTGACCAAAAAAATCTGACTTGTTAACTGATGATTCCTACCGTGCATGTGTCCTGGCTGAGATACCCAGACAAGCTTCCGGAACCATACTGTATGGAAAATTCAGTCCCGTTCTTCACATAGGTGCTTGACTTGCCCCCATTGTATTTGTGATGAAGCACTACAGGGTTAAAAGTAATTCTTCAGTTAAATACTTTTTTTGGTATACAGTGCTCCAGCTGTATATAAATACTCGATATAGTCACAGCATTTATCACGCTCATCTAGCTACTGTGTACAACACTCACAGAGACCAATTATTAACCTTATATTTCATGTCGGGGCCTTTATCCTCTTGCAGAAAAATGGCACTTAATTTTGTATTAAATTTAATAATTAAATTTATGCATTTAAATGTTTTTAATTACATATTAAGCATAGGCCTTCAGGCTGTGCTACCTGTAAAAATTCATTTCTAAAAAGTGCTAGGCAAAATGTGGCCAAGTAAATTTTATGAAACATACAGAAGCATCCAAATATTCACACCAAGTAAAGCACTTAGTCATTAAGGATGATCTGCAAGACTCTTTTACTGCAAGAGTTAAATGCACCTAACTACTTTGAAAGGGTGAGATGCAATCACTGACAAGTTCTTGTTCAGATTACAGGAACGAACTTGCTATAAGTTCGCTAAAATGAGGCCACAAAGAACTTGAGCAACATTTGGCCACACTGAAATGGATTCTTGTTTTACAAAGAAATCACTTTAAAATATGTTTACAAAGTTAATTGTGGTCTAGTGCGAAAACTCAGAATTAAACAATATAACAAGAAACACTAGTTTCCTGAATACTGCCAGTATATGTTGTTCTTGACATCAAAACAATTATTTTACAATACTATAAAGTGAGTGTGTGTGTGTGTGTGTGTATTTTATTGTTACCAATTTAAAGGCAACACTGATCTGATAATACCGTAATACTGAAATAAACTTCCTAGGCTCTCTGTGGACTTACAGCAGGCAATATCAGTCAGGGAACAGTGGACCGATGGCACCCACAGGTTGGAGGATCCTGTGTCAAACACCACAGTGAAGGTCTGGACAGGAGTGCCAAGACCGATCTCTCCATAGTACTGAGCCTGAAAACAAAAACCCTCAAATCATTCAAAATTCAACGCCACAACAGACTTTAGTATAACAAACATTTTCACACAAGCTCAGAATTACTAGGTCTTTAGAAAAAATAATAATGCATGCAAATAGTGCCTGTTATGGAGATTTCACTGTGAACTCAATCTCAGAGTTAAAAAATTTTTTAAATGCAATAAATGTCACAAGGTTAATTCCTAACTTAATATCCTATTTTTACAAAGTTACTGATATTCCAATTTATCACAAACGCCAACCAACATTTTAAAAAAAATTAAAGGCAACACTGATCTGATAATACCGTAATACTGAAATAAACTTCCTAGGCTCTCTGTGGACTTACAGCAGGCAATATCAGTCAGGGAACAGTGGACCGATGGCACCCACAGGTTGGAGGATCCTGTGTCAAACACCACAGTGAAGGTCTGGACAGGAGTGCCAAGACCGATCTCTCCATAGTACTGAGCCTGAAAACAAAAACCCTCAAATCATTCAAAATTCAACGCCACAACAGACTTTAGTATAACAAACATTTTCACACAACCTCAGAATTACTAGGTCTTTAGAAAAAATAATAATGCATGCAAATAGTGCCTGTTATGGAGATTTCACTGTGAACTCAATCTCAGAGTTAAAAATTTTTTTAAATGCAATAAATGTCACAAGGTTAATTCCTAACTTAATATCCTATTTTTACAAAGTTACTGATATTCCAATTTATCACAAACGCCAACCAACATTTTTTTAAAAATGTAAAAGATTACCAAAAAAAGGAAAGAAATAAAATAAGAAATTTAGGACAAAACCTCTTCTTGAATCATAATGTATATCATGCAAAAATTAATGTAATCTTTGACACTAAAGAACTTGCATCAATTACCTAAGCTTGTTACAATATCAGCTGCTTATTGCCAAAGAGGATTGTTGTGGCCTACTATGGTAGATGCATTTTGTTTGAGAAGCATGACAAATAATCTCATGACCAGCTGTCTGACACAGTCAAACACACCATCATGCTGTCCATTACAGCTTATGACAGGAAATTTACCTTTTTTTTTTTTGCTGAATAAAGACAGAACAGGTTTCAAGTTCACTTTTTCCTACTGTCAGTCACATTTCAACTGACATAGTGGAATTTATTAATCATATGACACGATTAAACAAAAGGACTGTAGGTTAAACTATAACAACTGCTTGTCCTCATTTTTGCAACTTCCTGGATGTACAGTTTGTGCAATCTCTGCAGTCAGAAAGAGCGCAGACATTCACATGCCTCTGATAGCAAATTAACAGATTTACAATACCACCACACACAAATTAGTGATCTTCTGAAAAAAAAAAAAAAAAAACCTGGCCAACTAGTGACGTTTGGTAAATGATTAGGGGCTATTTATTGTGATTAAATTTGCAAGATTAATGTGGATTCATGCACAAGAACACAAACAGCTCATCACGCTACATAAGAAATGCCATTAACAAGCAGTACTCACATCAAGGTAGTTCTTGAGGATTTCTGGAGTAGGACCATTACTTGCTGGGAATCCCAGGTTGTATTTCAAGGGTGCAGAACCTGCCACAAGCTCCTCTATAGCTCTGCCAGAGTCACTCAGTGTCCGTCTGATGGAACGAAACTTCTTTAAAGGAATCCTGGAGAGAAACAGACACAGAAACATCAACAAAGTGTGCACAGTTCAGTTATCTTGCAGGCATAACCACATCACCTGCAGCAAACTACAAACATTCTCATGCTAAAAGCAAGCCAAGGCTCCTTTCCACCCTCTTCATCATGCCGAACTCAAGTTTTTAGATAATGTAATACTCAAGTATTTATAGATAATGCAATGTCATTTCATTTGAAATGGGATGGAAAAAGGCTAAACAATGTAAGCTGGGTAAAAACTTTGCCAATTGCTCTCTATGCATTCAATGCAGAGATAAATAAGTTCTTTAAATAAATGACTTGATTTAATTACTCATGTGATGCAGTAAAATCAGCTGTTTTGGACTTTGATTGGGTGGTGAGTCAAATTGAATCTCAGTTGGTGTCACTTTCAATCAGGTCCTTTTCTAACATTCAAAACAAGAACAAAACAAAGGGCTTCCACCCTAAGGACTAAAATCAAGTGATTAATGATCATGTGTAACTGATATATACACATTATCCACGTGTTTTTGAGCCAGCTGGGGTGAGATCTATCAGCGTAAGTGCACTAAATTGGATTTCTAAAGGCTGAATTTTAAAGGGCCCTTCATACTGATCTATAAACAGATCTTAGTTTCTGCTGAGTCACAAACGATCAGTCTCTTTGTCTAGTGGGAGACCTACAACAATCCCTGGGTGCTTTACAATCGTTCACACAAGGGCTGTGTCTCAAAACCTGCTGAGCTTCCTACCTAGGGAGCGTTTTTAAACATTTACAATAGTATAATGGTAGAAAAGTTTTCAGAGACAACTATTGTTTGTTAAATTACAGGATAAAATAATATAAAAACAGACTAGACCCAGTGAAAGAACAACAAAGAGCACACTGCGTGGTTTAGCTATAATGATCGGATTGTGTCGCCGTTGTTGTTATTGTTAAGTTTGTTTGTTCGACCTTACCGAACAAACGCGTCGGTCGTCCACAAAAAGGCAGCAGCTAGCAGCAGACAGGCGATTCTCATGTTGGCGAGCCGTCAGGACCTGTTAAAGCATCTGAGGAGGAGTAGTATCGATGTGTTGAGAGAGTGTTGTTGTGTGTGTGTGATCTATTATGTAGGACAAACGGCTTGCGATAGCAGTCAGCTGACGAGATAGTGCTGCCGAGCAATTTTTGCTCACAGTCATGTGATGGTGCTTTGAAGAGCGTCACGGCTGCGCTGGCTGCGCAATTAGACGTTGAATAAAGGTTCTGAAGAAATGCTTAATAGATTAAGGGCGTCAAAGGGTGATTAATCTCATCACTTTGTGTATGTGTTAAATGTAATTAAATAAAATAACATTTGAATTTAATCGAAATGTTAAATATATGTAATATAAATAAATATATGAACCAACTAAATATCTAAATATATGTAGGTTATATTAATACACATGGCTAAATACATCTAAAATATGCATATATCTGTTAAAGATCCAGCTGGAATGAAATGGTGCTGACTTGGTTGACACTGGTCCTGATCATTTTAATTCGGATTTCCCCTATAAATTTAGTCATACAATTTGCATACATATTTGCATAAACTAAAACTATGGAGGACTAGGAGTGACACTTAAAATAAAAAATAAAGGAATAAGTTATCAGTTTAGTAATTCAAACATAAAAATGTAATCCCTTTTAGATGGGCTAATTAATAGACATAGAACAGTTTAATTAGTGTATTTTAATATTTATTATATAATATTACATATTATGTAATATATTGTTTTAAATATGTTTTGATTTAACTACATTAATTTTTTTAACATTAAATTTAAAACATTAAATTTAAATTTAAATTTAAAACATTATTAAATAAACAGCCAATTTTGAATGTCAGTTTATTTTCCGATTTAAAAATGATTTATTGTTTTATTTAACTACATATTATAACATTAATTAAATAAAAATAATGTAAATGTCTATTAATTTGTCCATTTAAAAGTGATTTATTTATTTCCATTTTATGTTTGAATTATTAAATTGATAAATAACAATAAATATTGAAAATAAAATCCAAACAGATATAAACTTAGATCTTTTATATACTTATACAGTTGAAAAATCTATTGAAAATGTACTTCTAACTAATAAGTGTATAGGAGAATAATAGGCTGCTGTCGTTTCCTCGTGGCCTACTTTTACGCAGTTCATTAAAACGCTAAACAGAGAAATGCGTGCATGATTTATCACTGTTTCCCTTATAATAACCTACTAAGGACGGATAATTTCCTACATCTTATTTATTTATTTAAACATGTAAATAAATAAACTATAAGCTATAAATTACATGCGACTTCGCCGTTTTACCACTGGATGTCAGTGTGATCTCGATAATGTTCTCATTGCAGTCTGAGAACGTGATGAGGGACTGTGTCAGCACAGCAGAATCTACACATTTCTACAAGTTTGTGTTCTTATCTTGCTCAGCATAACTGAATGCTGAAATATAAAACCAAATGCCCCTATTCACTTTTCACGTCCCCAACATGAGTATCCTGAAGTAACAATGTAGCACTCTTTCCAGTTAATTGCAACCACTGGAATAACACTATTTATCATAACTCAGTCTATTACATAAGCTTTCTAGACACAATATCTTTAAATCTATTACTAAATGTTTACATTTAGTAGCTGCATTTAGTAGCTGGGTTCTTGGGTTACATTTTTATTTCCCACAAGCTATGATTTACAGACACCTACTTTATGAGCAATAATGCTACATTTTACAGATAAGCATTCAGAATAACTTGGAGGGATTCATATTATGTGAATTGTGTTAACTTTGGTTGTTTTTGCATTCCAACATTATGAATCTCATGTCAGCTGATTTTCAAACTGACCTTGAGTAAAAACACCAACATCAAAACATAAACAACATAAAACTAATTAAATGTATAAAAGGTCATTTTGTTGGAGGGTATTTATTTATTTTTATTGGCATTTTGATTAATGACAGTATAAATGGCCACAGTTTAGTTCGTCACAGGATACTTTTTGTAAACATTTATTGATCCAAATAATGGGCAACTCCTTAAAAGTATTCATAGAGACAGTTTCCGAGTAACTGATTTTTATTTTTCCTAGTTGCCTTTGTTAATGTTAATTGTGCATGAAATCTGTTTACATGTAGCTAGCAGATCTCTTTATGTCAGCTGTAGGTAAGTGGGTGTTTCTGGGCGGTTCATGTTAAAAATAACACTCTAATGGACCGAGTGTCACATGCGTACTTTGACCTGTAATGAAGTCTGAATGATTCTGTCAGTCTGTTTAAGTGTTTTACTGTGTACTGTGTAACTATCATGTGCATTTCAGTGCTGAAATGAATGAGGGGGGTGATAGCATTTTGTTCACATGAGTTTATGTTTATTTGACAACTGAGCTGCATAATTTCAAACAGCAAATGTGTAAAGCATTAAGGAAATGTGCAGCAGTCGTTCAGTTTATCCTTTAAAAAATCCATAGATTTCTTCTACAACATGAACAATAAACATACAGCATATTCACAAACTATATACATCCACATGCCACTGTTTAGGCAAATGACAGTTGAGGCAAAGACACTATAGGGCCTATGAAATGTGTTACAATGCAGAAATAAATGGCAGCTGGTACATCACTGTTCCTATGCATTCATAAACCCAGGTCTAAAAAATAAACGCATTCAATAAAATTCCATGATCTCATTAAAATCCATCCAATCTAAAAGGTCCGTTTACATGTTTATTCATGTCATGTTTTACAGTGCTCCACAACATTTGTACAATACACAACATGACCCAAACCCATACAGCTTTTTGAGGTCATGAATAGTGACAAAGTTTCAGAAAAGGCAAAACACATTTGATATAATCACATCTCTTTAAAGGTTTTACCTTACATAATTTTCAACAGCTGTCTCAGACTAAAATGAGCCAGCTCACATGTTTGAATATGCCAGCTCAAGAATATTATGATGCCATACATTTATAGATAACATATATTCCAACACCTGCCTTGTATTTAAGAAGACTTCCTTAAGAAAAAACATATCATAGTTTGAGTTCAAAGGGCATTGGCTTAAAAACAAAGAGTGAGGATTGTGTTAGGAAACTGAGAAGGCAAGAAAAAGTGCACTTTACCTCTGGATTAAATAACTACTTTTATCAGAATATATACAGTACAAACTTTTATATCTACCAAAAGAACACAGATTACATTCAATATCAAAGTTCCATAAGGTGCTATTATACCTTGCACACTTTTGCTAGAGGTGACACAGGGCAATGATGTCAGATTGTTGGCAAAGCACTCTCAGTGATGACTGACAGGTGATTGGTCCTGTCATTCTGATCTGGAGTGTTGATTTCCTTCACAAGAGATTCAGACTAATTGTTCGGGAGAGGGAGAGAGAGACGGGGACTGCTGTAACATTACATCAGAGGGTTGTGGCTCGCACCATTTGTCCAATTAAAATCACTTGAAACATTTAGTCAACACCCCTACCAGAGGAGCATCTCTAAGAAATGAGTCCTGGCCCAAACACTACGGTATGTTGAGGTATGTAGGTAACTCTTTCAAGCACTGAACTTTGAAAAGAGCAAAATACAACCGAAATCCAGTTGTACTATAATAGAAAGTTATATATCTGACAAATACTGCAGCAGTCACACCAGCCTGCTTGAGGTCAGTATCAAACATCACATCCAAGAGTCCAATATGTGACTTCCAAATCTTTGAAAGGAACGTTCCGCTAGGACAAGCGCCGTTCTTTAGCTTAAAGAAGATTAATATGTAGATTATGTACTTCACTAAACTAAGTTTCTTCATCAAAAATAAAAAAGACAACTACAACAGAACCCCCCCCCAGAGCAAAGTCTGAGATTTCACACATTTTCAGTGAGTACTAATATGCCATTGGATGGCGAGACATAAAGAACGTAAAAGTTGCCGACAATTGGATTTTCATTCAAATATCTCAAGGAATCAGTGCAAAAGGCACTGGCTGTTACAATGTCCCCCATTCTCCCCTAAAAAAATGATAAACCAATTTGTTTTGAAATTTTGAGTCCTCATAATAATAATGTTAAAAAAAAAAAAAAAAAACAGCCTTTGCTTGGAAATCCATAGAAACACTATAGTAAATACTCAATGACAATTAAATTAAGATAAACAAGGTCAAAAGATCAGCTTTATGTACCATCATTTTCATTTCTTTGGGGCTGATGAATGGCGACACTCTTTGAGCCATGATGATCCCCAGACACAGGAGAGGCCAGGTCGGCCTCGTTGGACAGGTCACCATCGGGAGATGGCGGCGCGTCATCTTTTAAGGATGCTGCATTAAATCCAGAGGTTTTATCGGCGGGTGCACTGGGGAAAGCGATGGCAGCAGCAGCTGCGGCTGCAGCGGAGGTGTGTGTGGGAATCCCGGGGTAAAGCCACGGGAACGGGGTGGTCAGCGCCGCCGCCGCTGCTGGATACACCAACTTCTCCAAGTGACTCTTATCAAACAAATGCATGTACGATGCTGCAGACGGGTTTATAAAGTAAAACGGCATGCAAAAAGGAGTTTGTTGTCCACCAACACCCGTCATTCCAATTAAAGAGTTCATTAACGCCATGTCCGGCCAGGTATTGGTGGAATCTGACGTACCGTTCGCAGACCAGTTCATTTTGGCTTTTTTGGTGACACGTTCATCTCCGAACTCCTGCTTGATCTTTACTCCTTTGGCCGTGTCACATCCTTTCTCGCATTTGCCATCGCCTTTCTCTGCCTCTCCTCCGTATCCGCTGTCGGTGTCCGTGTCGTTCTCGTTAAGCTCGAGGTTCTGAGTCCTCTGGATGACAGGTACACAGTTGGCTTGAGTATCTGTCTGCGCGTCCCGCTCTGGAGCGTCGTCACCTGGCAACGGCTGCTGCAGGATCCCTGCGCCCGGCTGGAACGGCACGGAAACTTTGTGTAAGTGGTTAATGAGTCGCGTGCACATCTGCTCGCGCGCCGGCCAGTTCTCCACCTTGTTCAGATACTGCAGGACTTCTTTGGCACATGCTTCAAAGCCTGAGTGAAACGTGTCTAAGTCAGCCTGGAGGGAGGACTTCAACGATCGCTCACCTTTCATAAAATAGAGACAAAAAGTCCTGTCATTAAAAAACAGACAAATAAACAGACAGACAGACGCTAGATAGATAGATAGATAGATAGATGATAGATGGATAGATAGATAGATAGATAGATGATAGATGGATAGATAGATAATTAATAATAAATCTAGACAGATATAAATATATAAATACATGCAACAAAAAAGTGATCTATAAAAACACTTAACATATATAAGCAATAAGCATAACTGATATAAAAAGTATATGCATAATTGCAGCTATATGTGCATCTATTTTTGTTAAAGTACTGTACTTTGATCTCCATTTACTGTTTTACTTGATGTGGTATTGATGTTTCTCTGATTGCATTGTGTGGGTTGCACATTATGTAATTTACCGTTCTGCAAAGCGATGATCTTCTGGTGCTGTTGCTCTGTGACAGCTGTCAAAGCGTTCAAATGCTTCAGCGTCAACTCAAGAACTACCGCTTTTTCCAAGTGACCAAGTGTCTGTAAGACAATACGAACATTTATCGGATTTGCCTACTTTCTTGCTTTCCTTATGCGGGTGAGCTAAAATTACAAAACACATTTTAACAAGACCAAACACAATTTAGTTGATTTAAGTTACCGTAAGTTTCAGATGTTCAGGTAATAAATCTTTCAGCTGCCCAATACATTCATTTATTCGGTCCCTCCTCTTTTTCTCGATCAGTCTGTGTGGTAACTTATACGCGTCCTGCGAATAAGAAGCATTAGCCATTGCAAAAAGTTCTTTAAGTAATAATTATCACTCGGATTATTAAAAACGAGCGACACAAAGTGTTACGTGAACTTGACGGACATCACGTTTCCATCGCGGGTCCACAGTTTTTGCTTACCTTTCCTTCCTCTCTCTTCACAGCTCTTTTGGATTTGCACATGTAGAGAGACGAATATTCAACCCTAAAAAAAAAAAAAACACATTTTAAAGAAGCAAATCTATTAATTTCGCCACCAACCTCACACATAAAAAAAAAAAAAAAAACCTTACATTTGTTGAGTTGATTAAAAACCAAAACAACAGAACATAAAAATTACCCCAAGAAATCCGCGTGATCCAGGAACTGTCTGCCTTGCATTCTCGGTATTCTTTCATCCATAACTTTGTCCCACTTTCTTGTGCACTTCTTTTAAAATCAGGTTTCGTTAATCCAGTCGGCTACCAGCGGAGCGGCAGTGCGGTGTGTCCGGTATCGCGCAGCACCTCTGAATGACGATGTGTGCGCGCGCTCGTCTGAGCTGCCACTTTGCCCAGATTACCGCGCACGCGCGCCTTCACAGGAACCGCGCGCTGACTCACGTGTAAACTGCAGCAGCTTTAGAATCCGGGTATTAAATGGGCTTGAAAATTGACAGTTTATTGCTGAAGAGACGCTGAAAAATAAAACCACAGCATATTGCTCAGACGCATTCAAATATTTGTATTTGAGGTCTCAAGCATAAACTACCATCTACACATCTAAATGTAAAATACCAAGATACTTATTATATTATTTACAACATTTATTATAAATGAAGATATATCTTAGACATGTAATTATTTTATATAAAATCAGTTAGAATTATTATAGTCTAAACTTACGTAAAATGAAAACTTTTTGGCATTAAAAAACATTAGCCTATTTTATGTTTTATTTTCTTTCCAGTTTGGGACTTCCGTAAAGGTCTGCATACTAAGTAGGCCTAAACAAAGATTTAAAGACGCATGTATTAACTTGGCTAAATGCATTTTCAAAATCATGCTTTTATATATTTATCATGTTTACCAAATATAACTATCACTATTTGTCTAGGCTGATAATTCATATCTTTGGGGATAAACATAATTATGCTTCATGTCAAAAATATTACTATTAATATTATAAATTATTATTTTATTAATATTTTATTATTAGTTGCAATCATATTTTAGTCATCTCTAAATATTTGATTGTACTTGCAGTGTTCACATTTCCTCAATATATTTTGAAATACATATTTTTAAAGATTTGCAAATAGATTGCCTGCTATATTTTAACTGAAATGAACTGTATCCATTTTTTATATATCAACAAACTGCTAAGAAAATATTTGTGATCAATATTTTATGACAAATCATTTATTTGCAGCTTTATAATGTGAACTTTTCTGAAGTTCTGTGCAGCATGTTTAGCTTGAACTAACATCTAGATGTACTGAGATTGCTTTGCCTATACGTGCCATCTGAAATGAGGTGTGACATAACATACAACAGCACATAGAATAAGCTCTCAATATAGTCTGGCTGAAAATAGACCACATTCTGTCAATATCCAGCCTTCAGAAGACTTTAGCAGATGAAACCATTATAAGATTATAAATCAGAATTTTTCCAGTATATAAAGAAATGTAAAAATGAATAGAGTTTTACAAAAGGTCTGGGTGAATACAGACATATTCATTATAAGAAACAAGGCCTGCATATAGTTAGAGATTCTCCATAATTAACACAAAGTAAAATGAACACGTAGCATATCTGCACTCTCACATAATATTCATAAGAGATTAACTGTAACCCGCTCACATGCCCGCGGGTCACGTAACTTCATCGAAATCATGTGACTGACTCCAGGCTGTTATGAATAGATTGCACAGTGTGTTGCAGGAGGTGCAGGACTCAAGCACTCTCCCACATGTTTGCCAGAGACAAGAATTGTTTCTGCTCCATAAGATCCCTGTTTCCTGTTTAGTTTCAGGGAGACTAGAAGCTGTCGTGTGTTGGAGTCCCCCTTTATGTCTTCCCTCCCCTTTTCAACCCTCTCTCCTTTCCGTCTCCTCTTCTGTGCTCTATATGTGGCTCTTGTGGAATCTGCTCCAAATGTTTTCCATATTAGTTCAGAGTCCTTTCTGATTCCGAATAGCAGGGATCGCATAGGTAGAGAAGCCTCCAGTGAGGAGGGAGGGCAAGGGAGCAGTCCAGCTATAGAGCGCAAAAGAAACGGCAGACGAGAAAGAAAAGGAAGGACAAACAGATAGAGGGCGAGTACAAGAACGTCCAGTCGGCCTCAAAGGAAGATTAAGAACCTCCGCACGAGACAGGAGGAATTATGGGGTCGGGGACGAGTCCGATGGGGTCGGCTGGAGGAGGCAACGCAACCGCTGGCAAGGAGAAGAAGGGACAAGCAGAAACTGGAGGCCAAGTGCTGGAGGAAGCCCAAAAATGTTGTGGCTGCCGCTTTCCTTTGCTGGTCGCTCTGTTACAGCTTCTGCTGGGCATCGCAGTAGCTGCTGTGGCCTTCCTAATGGTTGCCATTAGCTCCTCTCTGCTGGCCAGGGAGACGCCCCATTGGGCCGGCATCATTGTAAGCTTCCTTTTGCTCTTCATCAACCTCTCCCTCAACTCCCAGCATGCCTTGTTTACTCTTTCGGGGCCATGCATGAGGCCGTCTCATATCAGATCCATTGGCCACAATGCCATACTGTACAGAAGCATACATAAACAATGTTACAGAGAGCATGTATGCATGTCCAAAATAACATGAGAACAATGAATACATTCATAAACAGAATCACGAGTTTTAAAGCTGATATAAGATTGACCACTGAGAGTGTCATGTTGCGAGAAATCTGGAAAAGAGTACAAGCTCATATGCTTATCAGTGGATTTTGCTTGTTCAGCAGTGATTTACAGAGTATCCGTGCTTCTTGCCTTTGCTCAGAGAAGTATCTATTCACAGAAGCCTATAGCAAAAAATCGATGTAAAGTTTAAAAACAACCCATGTTACTTAGATAAAAATGACACTAAAAATGCTACAGCTGTATGTCTGTTTGAGAATCACAGGAGAGTTGGATCAAACTGTAACTTTATAAATAGAAAACAAATCTTCAAAAGATGCAAAGCAATCCCTCTGTGCAGACATGCATGTCCAGTCACGTAGGCCATATGACAATATAACAGGACTGAATCATACAGGGAGATAACATTGCAATTGCATTCTGTTTTTTTTTTCTATGTACTTATAGAAAGTACATTACTTAAAGCTGCAGTAACTTTTGGCGCTCTAGAGGTTAATAAACAGAACGGCGTGCGTCTTGCGGAAGAACATTGTAGCCGGAGCTACTTCTCTCTGTTTATGTCTATGACGAATCACGCAGGTACTGGGCTGCAGCGGTACCTACCCGAACCAGTCTAAAATAGTCCGAATATAAACACTTATTATAGGTGTACCGTAGTGATTCAGGAGGACAGGCCAAAAACACGGTTTGGAAAATGGATTCATGGTATACTCGCTTATTATATAAATTTTGAACGCAAAAAAAGTTACGGACTGCAGATTTAACCCTTTTAAAACATTAAAAAAAATTCTTGTAAATCTCCAAATCTTGGATTCAATCTTTTCTTTTCTTTTGCACAGGTTTTGTATTTCTTTTTGGAACAGATTGGTAGTAGGCCTCATTGATCTGAGCTTATGCACCTCAGTTTTTGAGTGAACATTGCACAAATTATCCACAAATAATTTTAAATTTGTATTTATTTATTGTTTAAAAACATAACATCATGCATAAGCTCAGATCAATGAGGCCTATGGTCAATCACTTAGAAAAAGAAATACAAATACCTGTGATAATTAAAAGAACACAAGTTGATAAAAAAAGAGAATTTGTATATAATATTGCTCAACAATCTTGTCTGATCTCGATAATACAGTATTTTATCTATGTAACTTTTTCAAAACTTTTGAACAAGACTGTGTCAAGCGAAGATTTAGAGTTTGTACTTATTAACATAAGTAAATGTTGAAATAATAACCATGCTTCAGAAATATTTTTAATTGTTAGTTCATGGCAACTAAAGTAGTTAAATAATGTTAACAATATAACTTTATTTTAAAATGTTACAAAATTGGCTTTCTTTTTAAACATTACATTTGAATTTCTTTACATTTGTAATTAAAATCGCAGTTTTGAATACTGTTTGCTACCTCCATTCAACAAGATTTAAAAAGCATTCTTTGTTTAATTCTGAATGCCACACAAAAGCCAATATATAACTGTTTCATTGTGTAAAACATTAGCTATTGTGGCAATAAAACATAAAGTAATGTCTTTATGAGATTGCTGTGTTGGATACACTCATTCAAATTCATGGACGCACATACTGGAGTGATAAGGCAGATCAGAGAGCATCTCAAGTTCAGGCCTCACGAGACCAGTGCTGCTGTTCCTAGAGAAAAACACTGAGGTCACCAAGACTTCTCTGCCTCAGAACCTGGGAAAAACAATCAAATTAGATAGCACACGCTAGTCACAAGACTCCAATCATGCTGAGAAAGAGAGCGGGGAAAATAGAGAGAGAAGAAAAGAGTGAGATAAAAAGCGTGAGAGATAAAGATATCTCGTAAGGGTGGGGGGGTCAAGCTATTCAATTTGCAACGGCAGTCAATATATTATCAGATGACAACTCAATGCAGAGTTGCACAATGCTGATTACAATACAAGGGTTATGGTTGGCTCATAACAAGTCTGGCAGACATAGAGAACTTAGGTCTGCTGCACTGCAAATAAGATTAGAGCAACCCAGTACACTGGTATGTGTTCATGACAACAATGGCAACATTTTCAACAACAGACTCTGAGATGCACATGATCACGGTGATGATCACCCTCCAAACAGCCTAATAAAACTTGATGAGCATATGATTAGTTTATATATTGTACATTTGGGGTCTAAATGACAACAGGTCTATAGATTGCTGCAGGGATGGCATATTTTTGTAGGGCAAAACTTAAAGTTAGCATTTTAGCGGGTTTTTGGCTAAATGCCTAAAATAAGGTCAAGCTCAAGATATTTTCATGTTTTATTCTATGACATAAAATATTTAAGTAATACCCCTTTGTGATTTTTTTTAAAGCTTTAATTTGTCTTGAAAAAGGCAATTGCTGACAAGTGGCTAAATGGGAACAGGAAACAGGAAAACTCATCTACTCACTAGTCCACTTTTACAGTCTTATTTGGTTTATAATCACACTTTTCTGAGAATATGTTTTTTTTAAATAAAGACTGAAAGAGTCATGCAACCAAGGTGTAGTTGTTTATAGCCAACTGGCTTTTTGCGATTGTATTTAGGCTTCAAAAGTTTTATATGCATGATAAAAGATTATCATGATGAACAAAACATGTGAGAATCATAAATATTTGTTTGTCACAGAGCTTATTTTCTGCAATAATCCAAAAGCCAATGGAAGAATCATATCGGGTTTTTGTTGAGGGAACCAGGGTGGTGCTAATTTCCGTGTTGGCCTACAAAAATATGTCATCACTGCAGCACTCTATAAAAATACTCTGTTTTGCAGATGATTGTGGTGTCTCTGCTGGGATTCGTCCTCTTCTGCATCACCAGAGTGCCTGATGAGAGAGCGTCGGCTCAATTTATTGTAAAGGTAAAAAAATAAATAAGTGCAGTTTTTGGATGTCCTGAGAATTACAATTGCACCTCATATGTAAATGCTTTTCAAATGGACTTTAAAACATGTAGAGGTGCAACTTAGCTCTGAGAGCAGGGGACTTCTATGGTAAAAATGTAGTAGGTATCCAGCAACAGGCCTAGAAATATACAATTCTTTTTAAAGAACAATTCATCCAGAAATTAAAATTATGTCACCATAATGATCATTTACTCACCCCATATCATTCCAACCCACTATTATTATATTTCGTCCATGCAACACATAAGGATATGAAATGTGGAATGTCCATGCAGCTCTTTTTGCCATTCAACAAAAGTGGAAAGTGATTTAAATGTCTCCAAAAATCATAAAAGTAGCCCATATTACTTAATCTATATTCCAAGTCTTCTGAATGAATTAGCGATGTTCTTTCGAGTCAGTTGTTTTCAATGACTCGGATGAAGTGGTTTGTGGATTTTTTCCCCCACAATTTGGTTCTGGTGGTTCTCCAGTAAACAACTCACCTACTCACTGAACTGAGATGATGTTCGAATGGATTTATTAAATGAGTGAGCTGATAATAAGAGTGAATCTGGGATTTATGTTGTGATTTATCTTAAGTAGAATCTTGACTTGAATCGACACCTTTATTAAGAAAATGTAAGTGGAAAAATAGCTAATTGGAACTTCTTCGTTCTTGTCAAGCTCATTGGAACGATTTAATTTAAGTATGGCTGTGTACAAAATGGTGTGAGTGTGCTAATGACAAAATCAAAATTTTCAGGTCAACTGTTCCTTTAATTAGGCATATTTTTAATATTTAATGGACCATTGACATTTCTGAGTCATCAAGTCAGAACATTGAGCTGGTTTTAAATGAACAAGAATAGGCATTTTAGTCTATTTAAATCTGATTTCCATTGCCTTGCCTTAATTATCACAAATGACTGTAACCCCTCTCTCACTTCTGCCCAGCTCCTGTACTTCTTCCTGTGCACGATGGGGCTGGTCATTTCCGCAGTGGTCATTGCCTTCCAGTGCTACCATTATGCCCTGACTAACAGCTACAGCTGCAAGGAAATGGGGGAGTATTGTTTGTGCACTCTGGACCCTGAGGATCCCATCGCCCGCACTTTCACCTACAGCGGCGTGACAGACTGCAGTGCAATCGTAAGCACTCTACCCATGTATTACCTTCTGCAGATGGTGCTGAACCTGGCTCAGGCTATCGTCTGCCTGGTGGGGGCCTTCCTCATGTGGAAGCACAGGTACCAGGTGTTTTTCGCTGGGCTACAGACGGGATCTCCTTCTACCCACAATTGGCAGAAAGTTTAGGGCACTGAGAGATTTCTCTGGAGAAGTAAACATGCGGAGCGTGGGTGTGTTTGTGCCTTTAGGGAAGAAACTGTTTGCTGCAGTGTCTGCCACACTGGGAGTTTTATGTCATGCAACCTTTTATCAAAGCAGTTAAATGAGTCTGTTTGTATTGCCATATTATAATATTTCAGGAAGTTTTATGCAATCTTTAGAGTTATTGTATTTTTCTATATTGGAAATTTTTGAAAATTTTCAACTTGTTGAGGTTAACTGTTTATTTTTACCACTGCCAAGGAAAGTATTTTTATCTATATAACCAGTAAGTGACAAAACGAGACCTGACATTTTAGGAAAATGAGCGACACAATCTGTTATTGTGGTTGTTACTGTTGTGATAATGGCATGCATAAAAACGTATTTAATTGGCAGTATGAAATTTTTCTTAGTCCAAAAAAAAAAAACACCTTAAAATGCAATTATTCACACATTAACCTTTACCTTTGACTCTTTTTCTAACTTCAGGTGCGTTTATTGTCCATTGTTTCTGAGACAAAATTCCTGGTGGTTAATTTACTGTTGATATATAAATATATATATACTGTATATATACATACATACATACAGATATAGATCTAGATATTTAGATGGTGACCGTGATTTCTCCAAGTACAACATGTTCCTGGATCAACATCCTTGTTGATCCTGGAACAACATTCCAATTAACCAATCAGAATTGAGGGATAACTTTTCAGGAAATATCTGTTTTAGGCTTACGATCAGGGTTAGGTGCTTCTACACCCTTGTAAATGAGCACTGAGCAATGAGCATGATCATTTCACACTGATTTTAGGAATAAATTATGGGTAGGTTTAGGGGTAGGGATTGGGTTTAGTCTATATTTTTGGACAGTAATGTTGATCCAGGATCAACAAAAGATGTTGATCCAGGAACATGTCTTACTTGGCAAAATCACGGCGACCATATTTAGATATAATAGATATAAAGATATATAGGCATAAATTTTTACAAATAAAATACAGTTTATCCTGTTAGTAAAATATTGGTTTATAACTATCTGTTAGATTTATTTATAATTTCTAGTCTTTTAATAAGTCACATTAAACACTATGAGAATACACAGGAGCAACAGTCTTTAACATTTCTTAGATGAAATGTGATTTCTAAAATATAACATATCAAATCATTGAATACAGTACTGCTTTACCTGAAGAACTGTCTAGAGCACTTCAAAACAAAAGCACTGTGTACACAGCAGCCAGAAATAATAGGAGTGTCCAGTGACGAGGCTGGACGGGTTTGTGGACTGAAGTCCCAGTTCATAAAGCCAGTGAACAGCAGTCAGTCAGTCAGGGACTGGGGGGGTTCAAAGGGGTACTTAGACAAACAGCAGGTCACTGCCTCCACTTTCATGCAATGGAAGGGCAGATGTTTTTTAATCTTTTTTTATTTTACATAGGTCTATTGCATATTTTATATTTGTGGCCAGGTGAAAAATTGAGCGAATGTAAAGCCTGACAATCAAACCAAAAAGCTGTGTTTTTCATCATTAAGTCCTCGTCAATGAAGCTTGTAAACCAAATGAAAAAGACTGAGTGATTTGAACACTGCCAACAGGAAGAGAGCTGCCTGAGGTGTTAAAAGAGTCTGTTGCTTTAAAGAGACCTACGGTCTGGTGTTTGGAAGAGATGCAACATGATGCTTCAGCACAGAAAAAACAACCATAAATGTAAGCTTTGTATGACTCATCTTTCCTTTAAGCTGATTTCTAATAAAAGGCATTTACATAACCCTCTCTCATTCATCATTCAACTGCATGTCCTTTCAAAATTATTAACTGAATTTCATACTTATGTATTTCTCATGTTGTCAAGCAAACTGAAATATGCCATCTTTGGATCACATCCCCAATGATGTGCATGTAATCTAATAATAATAATAATATACTAATATATTAAATGTATTTTTTATTTATATAATTTATATGAACATAAATGAATAATTGTTAACAATTGCTAACAACAAAGGACTATTAAAAAAAAAATTACAATAAGTTTTGCTCATTTTTTAAATAAAAATTAAGTTTATTGTATGTGAATAATACTGTACACCACCATTCAAAAGGTTGAATTAATCAAAAATACAGTAAAAACAGTAATATTGTGAAATATTAATATAATTCAAAATATCTGTTTTCTATTTGAATATATTTAAAAATATAATTTATTCCTGTGATGGCATAGGTGAATTTTCAGCAGCCATTACTCCAGTCTTCAGTGTCACATGATCCTACAGAAATTATTCTAATATGCTGATCAAGAAACATTTCTTATTATTATTAATGTTGAAAAAAAATGTATTAAGCATTATACTTTTTTCAGAATTCTTTATTGAGTATTATTATAAATATTATATTATATTATAAAATATTTACAGTCACTTTTGATCAATTTAATGCATCATTGCTGAATAAGAGTATTAATTTCTTTAAAAAAAAAAAATAAAAAAAAATGAACGGTAGTGTTTGTGAATCTGTAATGTGAATAGTGACCATGCATTCTGAAGCCCCAATCAGGTAAAAAATATTATAAAATTTGCATGATCATGGTTTTGTCATTTTTTTAACTTGACAGATATGGCCACCATTTACTTTCACTGTATGGACAAGAGCAGCGTGAACATTTTGATAAACATCTCCTTTTGGATTTCACAAAATAATGTCAAAGTGGTTTGGAATGACATCAGGATACATAAATGGCATCATTTAAATTTTGGGGTGAACTATTCCTGTAACAGAACCATATTCTTGTCTCCTCAGCCTCTGCAGCAGAACTTCAGCGAGTCACTCTGTACACTATTAGATTAAGCAGGAATGCTGAGTCAAATGAAAAATCCCCCTCTGATTTGCAGTGCTTTTGGGAAAGAGTGCAGCATGTGACAGATCTCATCTGCTCTCCGACCAACCAGCATGACAACAACACGCACAATCACATGCAGACCTATCACATGCAGAAAGAAGGAAGGGAGGGTGGTATATTTAGATTAATGAGTGTGTTTATGCAGGATGTTGTTCACTGTCTTGCCTGGTAAATATTTGACTTAATAACTGTGCACCTGCATGACTGAACTTTGAGAAAGACTGTGCGTGTTAAGGAAGGATCAAATATTATCACCATTAAAACCAATTCAAATATTGACATGCATGCTGAGGGGAGACTGAATTTATATGTACAATAAATCGCACGATAAAACGTCGAATAACTGCTATATCCATGACATTTGCTTCTATTTGATTGTTCCTGTTTCATGTTGAAAGACGTGCCTGCCGACAGATGAGCGATCAGTTAGTGAGAGTGGCAGTTATCCAACTAACTGTCTTCTCCTCCCTGATGGAGCATTCCAGACGTGCTGGACTTTCCCCTGCTTAGTGACAGCTGAGAGCTATAATGGAGCCGTCAGGGGCTAATTTTAACCCGTGCCAGAGTGAAGGCACGAGCAGATGTGAATCTTTGCACTCTCAAGTAACTAGGCAGGGTCCTGTACCCTAAAAACACCAGGCGTACTACAGGTTAAAGAAACAGTTCACCCCAAAATTTAATTTGCTGAAAATTTACTCACCCTCAGGTCATTCAAGATGTAAATGAGTTTGTTTCCTCATTGGAACAGATTTGGAGAAATTTAGCATTACATCACTTGCTCACCAGTGGATCCTCTGCAGTGAATGGGTGCCGTCAGAATGAGAGTCTAAACAGCTGATTGAAACATCACAATAACCCACAAGTAATCCACACGACTCCAGTCCATCAATTAACGTCTTGTGAAATGAAAACTAGGTCTGTTTGGATGGGCTCACGGATACTATTATAATGTTAGCAAAAAGACTTCTATTTTAAATAATTGCTGTTTGTTTCCACGAAAATATTAAGCAGCACAACTGTTTTAAACATTGATAATAACAAGAAATGTTGCTGGAGCACCAAATCGGCATATTAGAATGATTTCTGAAGGATCACATGACAATTAAAATTTTTTCTAGTATTCTCAATCAATATTACACCATAATGTTGGATGTCTGATTTAAATGCATTGTGAAAAACTGTAAAAACTGTTCTAGTACAGTGTTGAGTTGCCATGTCCATTAAAACAGCATTTGAGATCCACTTCTTGTGTGTGAATCTGAACTCTGTACACAGATCTGACAACAGATGTCAGCTATCAGTGCGGACACAACAAATTCATCATTTATAAAATGATCTTATCTTCAGATATTCTCGATCCTTGCATAGATACCTAAATATCCCAAAAATAATTGCTTCTACTATATCACATAATATTAACTCTCTAAACCTTAGTGTTTCTAAATGATTTAAAGAGTAGATAGTCAAACTAACCATTGTAATACCAAATATAAATTCTTTATTATTTTCTGTACAACTTTATATAAGGCAAGCACAAATATGCTAGTCACATCTCCAACATAAAATACACAATAAAAATGATCATCATTTAAGAGTTAAGACTAGCGTTTAGGTCTTCGTAGAAGGTGACGCAAACAGATTCCAACGGTCACGTGATTGTCTGATTATGAGATGAGAATGTTTTCCAGTCATTAAAGTAATGCTGAATTTGAATTATAAAAAAATTATTAAATTGTTTAGAGGTACTTTATCTCTCCAGTTATTCCAACACAGACTAAAGTCCACTTTGAATTACAGCAATACTCAAGTTATGGACAGGGTAATTAAAATGTGAGGGAGTTAATATTTGACGCTTAAAAAAAAAAAAAAAGGAGAGAAAAAAGGCAGACAGCCCGTCCAAAGACTGTCTGAGTCATCTGGCGTAAGCCCTCATATGTGTAGAGTTCATGATTTTCCAAGCAAACACACTCTGTATGTTTCCAAACGTCCTCCGTCTATAAGATCTAAACGAGGAAACACTTACAAAATGACGCTCAAGTCTGTAGGACTGTAGGATCTAACTGGACAACTGTCCTGTCATGATGTAAAGTGTGATATCACCATGAGTGTAGTGTAGTTCATGGTGTGAACATCAGCATCTGTGTGTGAAGAGCATCCTCAGTGTGCAGGGGGGATCTGATGGTTCATCTGTGATGGTCCCAGGAAGCCCAATCTCTGTTTATTCTTCCTTTGCTCTGTCATCTGTACACGTGCAGAAAAACACACACATAAAACAGGGAAGCCAATTCAGTTGCATCAAATTACAGCCTAAATAAAATTATCCTACAAGGCTATCAGCTCCAAAATAAATAAAAATAAATAAAATAAATAATAATATTTTAAAAGTAATTACAGTAAAAGAGTGTAAAAATGCTGCTAACTGCCAAAACTGGTTAATGTCATATTTACTTATTACATGAGTGAAAAATTTTAACAGATCTAATGAGATGTTTCATATAATTTTACAGTAAAATACTGTTTTGAGAAGTGAATAAGAACAAGTCAGCTTATAGCTTACAATGACGAAATGTAAGTTGACATTCCCAGAATTCTCTGTGTGCTAGCTCACATTTCATGGTTTTTCAATGAAATAACTGTTTCTTCTTAGTTCTTCTTTATCAGTTATGTACATTAGGGTTTTAAGATACATCTGATGTTGATGAATTAATGCTCACCGCATTATTTTAGTACCATGACAGGGTTTTATATTTATGTGTATGACACCATGCACCGCCTAAATAGAATTTATTTTTCATTGTATGCCATATCAGCATCAAAGGCTATATACATAGCAAACTCAAATGTAACCAGATTTAAAATAGTCTTAACCACAATAATTCAATGATTTCGCTAATTTAACACTTTGAGACAGAGCGGCATTTAATACACAGAGCCGTAGTTCACTGACACGCTACGAAAAATCGCGTTCATAATCGCAGGCGATTTGTCTGTGATTATGAACGCGGTTTTGCATAGCTTGTTCACAGATCACAGAACCGGCTTTACTGACCAGATGTGCATGACAATCACATGCGATTAATTGCACAGGCAATATATATATATATGCAATTGCATGCACTGTACATACTGTTGATATTCTAATACTTATAATTAATAACTTTACTTTGCGCTCGCATCATAATTTACTGTTTTCTGTTAAGTATTTTCTAATATACTGTATTATGTTTGTGTGTGTGCATATTTGGGTTTGCACTGCAAATATTGTTATTTGAATACTGTGATGTTCCTCATTTGCAAGTCACTCTGAATAAAATCGTTGTTAAATGCATGAATGCAAATGAACACACACACATCTGTCATCTGTACACGTGCAGAAAAACACACACACACACACACACACACACACACACACACAACAGGGAAGCCAATTTAGTTACATCTCAAAATTACAGCCTAAAAAAAAAAAAAACCCACAAGGCTATCAGCTTCATTTTTTAATAAGCAATTTTATCTGTAAAATACTGTAAAAACTGGTTAACGGTAAGTTTCCTTATTATATATGCTAAAAAAAGTTTACAGATCTAATGAGACATTTCATATAATTTTACAGTAAAATACTGTTTTGAGAAGTGAATAAGAACAAGTCAGCTTATAGCTTACAATGACGAAATGTAAGTTGACATTCCCAGAATTCTCTGTGTGCTAGCTCACATTTCATGGTTTTTCAATGAAATAACTGTTTCTTCTTAGTTCTTCTTTATCAGTTATGTACATTAGGGTTTTAAGATACATCTGATGTTGTTGAATTAATGCTCACCGCATTATTTTAGTACCATGACAGGGTTTTATATTTATGTGTATGACACCATGCACCGCCTAAATAGAATTTATTTTTCATTGTATGCCATATCAGCATCAAAGGCTATATACATAGCAAACTCAAATGTAACCAGATTTAAAATAGTCTTAACCACAATAATTCAATGATTTCGCTAATTTAACAATATTATTTTGACAAACCAACAAAAAATTGCTAAATGTATAAAAACAGCAATTATATACACAATCCTTCAATTTGACATTTGAAAAAAAATTCAAATATTTTCCCAGGAAAATTAAAAAAATGTTAATGTAATTTCTGAGTAAAAAAAAATTAGATTGAATCATGTGGCTTTCTCTCTACCACCTATGTTTGTAAGGTGGTTATCAGTATATTATAAATGTTTTAACTGTACATTTAGGATCAATCTGTAAATACTACCTTTTGTTTTACAGTAAAGTTCTGGTAACCAAAGCTGCCACTTTTTTACTGTAAATTTAACTGATCTTCTCACAGTGTACTTTCTGAAGATGCATTTACATTTACGGTTGTGCAGTGAAATTTTGTGGGCAATATCTAGTCATTCAATGGGAATCCACAGGGTTGGGAATTTTTGATTCAGGGTGAAAAAGTTCCTCGTGCAGATTTCATTCATTTTCAAGAATCCGCCATGTTGACCAACAGAAAGCTGCTTGGTTTGAAAGTGACTTCTGTGTAGACAATTGACCTTTTTTTGACAGTGAAATTTGCTAATATGACTGCACATTGACACAATCACTCAGTTCCAAAACTTCAAGCTGCCTCCAGATTGAGATGGCGCCGACGCTGATGGCAGAGGTTGTACTTCCTTCGCCAGCTGAGGAAGTTCAACCTGTCACAGGAGCTGCTGAAACAGTTCTACTCCGCCATCATTTAATCTGTCCTCTGCACTTCTATAACTGTCTGGTTCAGCTCAGCTACCAAATCTGACCTCAGAAGACTACAGAGGGTAGTCCGGACTGCTGAGTGAATCATTGGTACAACCCTCCCTTCTCTCCAAGAACTGTACTCATCCAGAGTGAGCAAAAGGGCTGGCAAAATCACTCTGGACCCCTCACATCCAGCACACTCCCTCTTTGAACTGTTGCCATCTGGTCGACGCTACAGTGCTCTGAGCACCAGAACGGCCAGACACAGGAACAGTTTCTTCCCTCAGGCCATCACAGGCACAGTTTCTTCCCTCAGGCCTCTCATGAACACTTGACAATAACTGTGGAACACACACTATTTATTCACTCATACACTTATTTATCTAACACACATACTCAGTCTATATTTCAATTTGCACATAATATACCTGTACATACAACTGTCTATTGTTCTATACCTGGACATACAATTGTCGATTGTCGATTTGTATATTTTTTATTCCTTATTTTACTTGTTCTATTTTTTTATTTTTTTTATTTCTTATTATCTGTGTTTTTTTGTTCTGTCACTGTCATTCTGTTACACTGTGGAAGCTTCTGTCACGAAAACAAATTCCTCGTATGTGTAAACATACCTGGCAATAAAGCTCATTCTGATTCTGATTCTGATAAGCAGCATTTTAGAGCGCACTCCCGACGTGAAGGCTGTTTCAAATAGATATTTTGAGAATTTTTTTAAATCCATATAATGGACGTCAATGACAACCAAAACTGTTTGGTAACCAACATTCTTCAAAATATCATATGTTCCACAGATGAAAAAAGTTTGGAACAACATGAGGATGACAGAATTTTCATTTTTGGCTGAACTATTGCTTTACAACATGGCGTCATTTGCACCAATATCAAAACGACCTCTTATTCCATGGGTCACTTTTTTACTTTCCCTAACACACTGGATTTGAACCAACGTGTATCTTTTTTTGACCTCATGGCCATTCCAGACAAAGAGAAGGAACTACCAAATAAACAGTCCTAGCAAGAAAACGGAGGTGGAATACAGTGTGCTACACTGAATCAGTGAGAGCTTGTTTGTCTGAACACATGACAAGTTCGGATTTCGCCTACCGCATCTGAGCTGGATCTCAGCCTGGCTCGAGCTGAGAGGTGAGGAGGATCTGTTTAATTAGGCCTGGCTGTCGGAGAAGAAATCACTTTAATAAGTTATTTAACATCCAGCACTGCCAGGAGAATTACATTAAGCCCGCTCCTCGTGACTGCCAGGAATCAGAAGGACCGCTGGAGGATGTGAGGGGCAACACGGCGTGGTTAACAGTTCTGGTTCGACTGTTTCAGGCTCAGTGGTTTGGATCAGCGCCGATTCTCAATGACTGTGCAGTTCCTGTGTGTTTACAGCACAGAACAGTTCAAATCTGAAGTCTAAGGTCAAACAAATATGCAGACCTTAAAAAAAATGAGCCATGGGGCAGCAATTTCTTTTCCAACGTCATCCCATTAGAACCCAAAGCTCTCCCTCTCCCTGTGTCATGTGAATCGGTTAAACTGTTTGTGTGGAATCACATGTGGGCCAGGCAGGTGATGGCAGTGAACCGACACAGCGGAGCACAGCCGGAACATCCACATCGTCCCGGGGTACCGCCCCACCCCTGCTCTGACGCACTTCCTCAGCAGGGCCTAATAGTAAACACTTCAGAGGCCCCGTGAGGAAAAAGACTGTTTTGCTCTGTGAAACCAGGCCGTCCCATTGGATGGTGTGCTGTATGTTACCTGTTCTTTAAGCTCGGACAGCTGGGAAGTCAGCTGAGCCATGAGAGTGACAGTGGTGTCCAGCCTTTCCTGCACCAATCGGATCTCATTCTGTTCGCTCTCTCCCTCCGAGTTTACCAAAGACATGGCCCGCATCCGTGGAAACCAGTCCAGATTCTTCTCCTGAAGGAAAGAGAATGGTGTGATTTGTTGTTGTTATTTGGAGCATTCCCCAAACATTTTTAGCATAGGGATTTGATTTAGCATTTGACTATTTAGCAATAAACACAAACATACATTCACACTATCATTCAATTTGGTTAGTTAAAAAAAAGAATACCTTTATTCAGTAAGGATGCATTAAGTTGATCAAAAGTGACATTAAGGACTTTTACAATGTTACATAAAAATACATTTTGAATAAATGCTGTTCTTTTGAACTTTCTATTCATCAAAGTATCCTGAAAGTTTCCACTTCCACTTAATCACAGGTTCCGCTGCTTAAAGTATTAAGCAACACAACTGTTTTCAACATTGATAATAAGAAATGTTTCTTGATCAGAAAATCAGCATATTTGTTGCATCCAGTGGGGACATAATTACTGATTATAATGACTTATGCTGTCTTTTTACGCTTTGCTCAAAACTCGCGTTTGAATCATCCGTGGCAAATTATTTAAATAAAAAAACGTACTTACAGGCTGTGAGTCAGAAGCGCCAGACTGTCCTTGCAAAGTTGGAACTGCCCAACTTTATAGAAACAGCCTTTGTGCCACAGATGCAACTGTTCTGGAACAGTGTTGTAAATACAACTTAACCACTGATTTCTAGTCGTGTCCTCTTTTGGAAGGCCAAACAAAGTAGTTTCGCTTTCACAACGA